TTCAGTCTAGAAACGAATGGTTTACCCAACGGAATTAATGAATTCTATAGCCTTCTTTTTTTCTCTTTCTTAAAGATTTCACTTATTTCTATCTTTTTTCAATAGAGATCGAGAAAAAAAACTTGCAAAAAAGAAAATTTAATTTAATTTAAACTAATCACAACCATACTACTCGCAACAACCGGGGAGAAAATGTTTCATCTTATAAACCTTTTTTATTATTGATATTGTTAGTTTCATTTTGTATAAAACCGAAACTGAAACAAACTAAGAATAGGATTTTAAAATGAAACAATTTAAGAAAATTTTCAGTACATGTTTATATGTAAAATAGTTATTCCATTTGTCAATAAGTAAGATAACTTACTATTGCATTGTATTTTTCTGTATGCAATCGATACATCAGAATACAAAAAACAAACAAACATAGAAATGATGAATTAGATCCGTTGAAAACAATGTCCTACTGAAGATATAGTAAACTTGGATATGAGACTTTTATGTAGTGGAAGACTATAAACTCGTATATTACATTTCCAAGTTTAATTTGGTTTATGATAATGTATGATGTGATTATTGAATAACTGCTTCATTCGTATTGTTGTTTGTATTTTATAAGTCATAAATTCCCAATGCAAAGTATTATATTGCATCAACCAATCCACGGAATTGCGCGACCATCTTCCATTGTACTGAGGTAGATACCTGTCTCTACCCGACACGGATTGGCAATTTTGTGAATTGGTTGAGGTTAGACATTAACACCATTGGATGCCGGCTCAGTGGTTCAGCAGGTTAAGTGTTCGCGCGCAAAACCGAAAGCCCTGAGTTCGAATCCTTCGGGCTGGATAGTGAATGCGCGCTGCTGAGGAGTTTCACAATAGAACGAAACGGCTGTCCAGTGCTCCCAGGTTTTCAATGGTGGTCGAACATCAATCGGTTCATGATCTCAATCAAAAACTTAACAATCTCCACAACCCCTAAATTGATACATATAGATTAGTTTGACTTGAAGATAATTTTCATGAATGAATGATAATTAATTATTCTCTATCGTTGATCCAATACAGAATACAATTAATGACTTTTACTCCTTACGAATTTATATAGAAAAAATAAAGTATTTCAATGTATTGACTAATTTAATCATCGTTTTATCTAACTTTTAAAAAATGACATTTTGTATCTTTATTTAGTTAACTGAGCAATAATAAGTAAACACTAACAAAGGCAATAATGAACTCTTCATTGTGAAATAAAATGGTTTCGTAATAATTGAGATCCATGACAATTCTAGATTTCATATTATTTTCATGTTCAGGTAATCATATATGATATATTCAATTCCATGAAAAATACAAATGATTGACCAACACTCAAAAAAAGAAATAGAATTAAAAAGACTATGAGGAATGTGAATTCGAGTAGAGAAACCAGAGACAAACCTGGAGAACTACGAAAGCCATCATACAAAAGATACAAGAGTTTAAAAACAACTGTTTACGCAAAATACATTGAATCCGTTGGTCAGACACAATCAGCAACAACCTATTGTGGAAAAGAACAAACCAGATGGCAGTGGAGGAAGAAGCGCTGGAAGTGTATAGGACACACATTGAGGAAAGCACCCAACTGCGTTACAATGCAAGCCTTCACATGGAATTCTCAAGGCCAAAGGAGGAGGAGAGGAAGACCAAAGAACGCATTACGCCGAGAAATGGAGACAGACATGAGAAAAATGAACAAACTTTGGATAGAACTACAAAAGAAGGCCCAGAACAGAGTGAGTTGGAGAATACTGGTTGTTGGCCTATGCTTCATTGGGAGTAACAGGCCTAAGTACGTAAGTAAGTAACTAGAGACGAGTTGGAATAGAGAAGTAAAGAGATATATTGTTCACATTTTATTGTTGAAATTTATTGATATGTTCAAAAGGGATTAAGCATGAGAAAAAAAGGATGATTAAGTTTAACATTCATAAAATGACAGATTAATAATAATAATAATAATGGTGATCATAATGATAACAATGAAAAATGCTAGCGAGTTGAATATATATTGTTTGTTTATTCATTTTATGATTCTTTTATTTTAAATGGACAATATTTCTTAATAGAAAAAAAAAAGAAAAATTGACTTCATCCATTAAAATATAATAATTTATCATTAATATGATTTTTTTTTTCAGATCTTTTTCTTTTCACTGTTTTTGTTATCTATAAGATTATTTAGGAAATTTTTTTGGTTTTACTTCTCATTACTTCGTACTAACTATGTCATCATCCTTAATTCACCTATACAAATAAACAATCACCCACCCACCCACTCACTAACTCACCCACTAACTCAACTTTTGTTCCTCTCCCTTTGCTTTCATTTTTTACTGACTAGATTTTATTTGTTTTTTTTCTTTTCTAATTAAACATGGGAAAAGAGAAACATAATGGAGTTATCTGTTATTTCATTAGCGTTTATGGTTGTGTGCATGAAAATATTGTTACCTATGTTATATCATATTATATGAAAAGTTCCTCTTTTCGATTCAGCATTGTTTTATATGCTAACCTAAATTTTATAAATCAAATGAAATAGAAAAAATACATAAACAGGAGTATATATATATATATATTTATATAAGGTGCTGGGCTGCAAAAGACATCACCATAAGGAATAGATCTCTATGGAAACCCTAGACAAGATTCAAGAAACGAAGAACAAGAAGACAGCAACTAACAACAGCTGGTGGGCGGCCTATGCTCCTCCACGAGGGATAACAGGAGTTAGTACATATTTATAGTGGTTTTTAAAAGACATGTTTATATACGTATTTATAAGCTCTATTGTCATCCCGTACTGTAAAGAAACACTGAAGAAGGTTTATTTCATCACCAGTCTAGATTATCGAAATCTAAAGAGATAATTCGAAAACAGAAATAACAAAGTTGTGTCTCCGTATTCTACTATACTAGCTGAAATGCTGTGTATGTGAGAGAAACATTTAGAGAGCTAAATACGAAAGTCGAGGAAATATAAACTATATTAAAAGCATGTCCCTAAATCTTTGGAAGATCTCAGGAAGTTTGTAAGCAAATCAACGATAATGCTACATTTAGCTTCGTTTATACTTTTCACTATTTAAGTTATTCAAGATCTTATCATTAAAATCGTTTTAGAAAGGTAAGAGGTAAAACACTTAAAGATCATTTTCTGTATTGATAAATTGCTGAAAAGTTAAATTAATTAATTTCCTCTTAGACAAAAACAAACTATTTACATACATTTCAAGGTTTTAGATGTCATACAGAAGAGAAGTTTCTCAATTTAAAAAATGGTCCCACATAAAATGTTCGTACATTCTGTGTTAAAATGACATCAGTGAACAAGTTAATTTTTCTTCTTAATAGATGCAAAACATCTAGTTCGAATATTTCCTACAAAAAAGCATCTTTACAAAGGAATCTGTATTTGGAGCGAACACTTCAAACATTCAATTCAGCTTGTTTTAATTATTAAATATTTTCATAATAAAATGATAAAACTATTTAATATAAAAAATCCTAAAATGCTAAAGAAATTATAATACTTCTAAATGTACACATGTATCTGCTATATATCTGCTATGCATCTGCTATATATCTGCTGTGTATCTACTATAGTTATGTTGTAATAGTTGTTAGTTGGTTTTATTATTTTACAATTCATTTACTTCCTGTTTTATATTTCGTAATGAAATTAATTGTTTTTCATATTAGTTTAAATTGTCATTTCTGTTTACATTCTTATTTGCCAATTATTTATATTCAACTCATAAAGATAACTAAACAAAAATTCATTGTATGACGTTGATTTTATTGAGTAATTATAAATGTAAAAATAATTAACTTTTATTAAATAGTTGAAATCATGAGTCGATTGAAGCTAGACCACCATAGAAAACCTGAAAGCCCTGGAAGGCCGTTTCATCCTAGTATAGGACTCCTTAGCAGCATGCATCCACGATCCCGCCCCAACGCGAGATTTGAGCTCACGACGTATCAGTCTCGCGAGCGAGCGCTTAACCATTAAACCACTGAGCCGGCATCCAACAGTGTTAATGTTTAACTTCAACCAATCCACGAATGGTTAAACGCTCGCGCACGAAACCGATAGGTTCTGGGTCCGAATCTTGCGTGAGGCGGGATCGTGGATGCGCACTACTGAGGAGTCCCACACTAGGACGAAAAGGCCGTCCAGTGCCTTCAGATTTTCCATGGTGATCTAGCTTCATGAGCTCAACTAATGAAATTACTAAGATCTCCGCAAAACCCCTTCTGATTTTAATAAATAGTTTTTGTTATGATTAAAATGTTTATGAAGAACTATTGAAAACTAGAGATTTTGGGTGACCATTCTGTTCTATGATGAAAGCTTCAAGACTAAACTATCCAGCTTAGTGAACAAAACTCCATCAATATCATTTTGTCATAGGTTGAAATTGAATATCATCCATCAATCACTAAATATGGTCACGTTGAGTGCCCTCAATAATTGTTCAAAAAAATCCAAGTAAGCTTAGAAGATATTGCATACACTTCTTTCAATCAGAGTTCTTTGAAACCCTCTAAGGAATTCTAAAAAAACGTCAGATTGTATGTTATATATTGCTTGAATTGTCATCGACTTCATTTCTAATTTTCGCACTGTTCTATAAGTCTTCAAAATTCAATAGCCATGTGTAAAACAGTAAATACTCTGCTTTAATAGGTCTTCAAAGTAAATCTTCTCCCGTACTTCCCGTCATTTATGTTCTATTCGAGGTTGAAGAGTCGAAGAATTCTGGAGACTGGAATAAGTTTAAAAAGTCGCGATCTGAGTGTTCACTGACAAGACATATTCGATCAAAAGCATAATGTCAAAACTTTATCCAATCACAATGTATGTATGTCTATCTAATTGTACTAGTCAAATCAATTCGTTATATCATGAAATCTTTATCCACCAATTTTATATCTGATGTTCACTTACGATAAAATGACAGATTTTACAAAGGTAATTATAAAAATGTCCTAAATTAATCATAATATTGTGTTCATTATTAATTAGATTTAAGACGATTTTTTGTAGTTATATTTGGAAATCTCCAATATTTACATGGAGATTATAGCTCATCAGTAGTTATAACTGAATATAATGGTATATTAATATGATAAATGAAGTTAAAAATATGAATCTTTGGTTTCTGGTCCAATGACTTTGAGATATATTGTTTATCACTTCATCGAACGATCTTTTGTCCCGTTGTGTTCCATCAACTGTGTGTTAATTACAAGTCATAAACTACGTCAAAATAACTATCCCATTAGTCTTTATTTCTGAATACTAATGCAAATTTAAGTAAACATATCGGAACCCTTTACGGAGCTCAGCTTTCTGATGATGGCGATGATCCATTCTCGACTATAAATGATTCGGCATCAATATTTTCATTTCCATGCTAGATGACATCAGTACTAAGTTCAAATGAATGCGTATCTAAGAGGTAAAATACAACTTCTTAGTTAATTTACTCTCATGACCTGAATCAAATAATCTTGGTCTTAGAAACATTACCGTTTTTATGTGTTTCTCAGTTACAGGTCATTCTCGTGTTAGACTGAAAAAATGTTACTAGAATTGATATGTATCAATATACCTGAATACTAAAGAGCCTTCTGTATCCTAAATTCTTAGGATTCCGTAGCTCAGTTAATGTCACTAATATTTATTGTGAGACATCTTATCGTTCAAAACTTAATCTATTATGATGTTTTCATTGGTAGAAGGAAAAACCACTTTGTACCGAGCAGTCCTAGGATATTTATTTTGTGAATGGCCCTAAATCTGTAACTTTTATCCTTAGTGTTCTTCATTTATATAAAATACTAAATTGATAGTTTTAGTACGCAATCGATAGTAAATTCAAACGCCATGTCCTGCCAGTGATTTCTGAGACGCTGGAAACAGTGGATAAACGAATTGTTGTGCGATTTCTGTACAATTTCATGATAGCCAGTTCATTTGATGGAAATCTTTCGAAGAAATTGGGCGAATAATCTTTTAATGAAGCTTATAGAAGGCAATTTTCTTCATTTATTTTTAGAGTTAAATTGTATATGTCATTCTTTCTTGTGATTTTATGCAGTTACAAGTGCATTTGAGTAATTTGTCTGTTTCAAACCACCAATTCACGGATAAATTAACATTGTCATTAATTCTCAGGTCACTTGATCACTAATAGGTCACATTTCCCAGAAAAAAGATTGGGTAAACCAATATAGTGTTAACTATTAAGTAACACCCTTGTCTTCGTGGAAGGTCACTATGGAGCTATTTATATCTGTCTTGAGATAGTTTCATTTCGTTGTTTCATTCTGATGGAAATTATTCTTAAGCTTACCATTGTCTCAACCTTGTCTTCAATATATCGTAAGCCACTATTAATTAATAGATTGATTGTGTGAAATGTTTTCGTTTACAAACAACAAGTGTCTCATTTAATGTCACAAAAAAATTACTTTCAAAACTTTGGATACATTAATATTTTTTCCTTCGAATGTGCCTCATTTCTGACAATATATTTCTTTAATCACCATTTACAATTCAAACACGCTTGAATGTCGTCAAAATTCTTCATCTTAGACTGTTTTGTTCTTTTCACTCAACTTATGATCAAATATCAACAATGTTGGGATAACATTTACATACAACTTTCTCAACGTTATATTTTACAAAACTGAGTTTATCCGAATTCACACTAGCAGTGAGTCGGAGATTAGAAAGAAATAGTTACCCAATTATTAAGTATCAACACAGATGATTGATAGTAGTCCTAGCTTTATATCATCTCTTCAGCCTTCATAGCTCTCATTAAAACGTATTAACTTCAGAAAGACACACACAAGATTACATTACTCAAATACATTACTAATATTTTCTTGACTATCTGCTTAATTTCTAATATGCTTATGTTTTCTGATAATTTGGAGATTCGTTCGGAACCATTTTATCTATTTAAATGATTTAAGCAATACAATCAAGTTAATTCATTGTTACTATTTCACTGGTTGTGTACCTCTCCTTTTTTATTACAAATAATCATTTCTGTAACATTGAGCAAGGATACAAAATGAAACAACATTATTAAGAAATTTATTCTTATCACAATGTTGTTATTTTATACTTGTGAAGATACATCAGTTGATAGGACAGCATATGTGGTTATATTTTATCGTAATGATACCAGTTTGATTTAAACAGACCAAAATAGTAAAGTATGTGTACGAACATAACCCCACATGACTTGTAAAGAAAAAAATCAAAAATACAGACTGCCTTCTTCTTCTTCTTTCTCTCTTCTATCGTCTATCATGAAAACGCTTTTGAAAAATCTAAGATAAACCAATCGATTTAAGGCGAAGGGAAGTTTAAAGTAATCAAAAGACAATTGGTGTTTTATTTCCGATCTATGTGTATATAACTTTTTTTTTTCTGATTTAAATATTAATTCTACTGTTACTGTTATTGCTAGTGCTGTTATTTTTCAAAGAAAATTATAAAAAAAAATTAAACCGGGTGGCGTAGACAATATGACACGGTGCGGATTACCGACATTGAATAACTGATTGACTGACTGACTGACTGATCGACTGAATGATTAGTTGTTAGACCATTGGATAACTAACTGACTGATTTGGTTGGTTGATTGGTTAACTAACTTGTTAACCGGTTGACCAAATAAATGTGTTGTCTGAATAACTGAATATTTCAAGATTAAATTACTACATCTTATTATTTCTTCAGTGGTCTTTGACACTTTTTTTTATCAAAAAAAATCATTCAAATATCCAAATCAACAATCAACTTTCATAGCATAAATGATCATGTATTCAATGACAATATCGGTCAATGTGATGATGTATGAGAAAAAATGAAAAATAAAAAGCCTAAATATCAATACACACACGTGTATATACACATGCACATATATATATACACACACACGTACGCCACTTATTCAAAATAATCACCAATCTACGAATGATAAACAGATAATTTAATCTATTCCAATAGTGTATCAATAAATCTACATTAAATATGTTTATATGACGAATTTATTTCTATTTTTCACTTTATACCAAAGAAAAAAAAACAAAACAAAACAAGAAAAGAAAATTAATGAAACTGATCTTTGATTTTTCATTACAATAATCATTTGTTTACTTTCATTTCTATTATTAATAATATCCCCCCCCGCAAAAAAAAGATGAAGAATCATATTGCACAATTATACAAATGATTATCATCATAATTATTCCATTGATATAAACTTATCAGGTATCTATCCATCTATCAATATACAAATAATGAACCGATCTAATCAATGTTATATTTTATTCTTATTTATTTAATAATTTCTATTTTAATTATATAATTTGTCATTAATAATCTAATGACAAAAACACTATTATCAATAATAATTTATATAATTATTATTTATAGTATAATTATACAATTTATGAAATCATTACCAAAAGTATATTCTGTAAAAGGTTGTGTAACATTTGTTTATAATGATAATTATTCAATGCGTCAATCAATATGTGATAAATTATATACAAATTTTCATAGAATACCAATTAATTTACCAATAGAAATTGTTAAATTAATAATAAATCATCAAAATATTATTCAATTAAATGATACACAATTTCAACATTTACCAAATTTAATTTATTTAAATTTAGATTCAAATAAAATTAAAATTATACATCCAAATACATTTAAACAATTAATTCAATTAAAAATATTAAGTTTACGTTATAATTTATTAACTATATCTTATGAATCATTTCATCCAATGATAATGTATCATTTAAATAAATTACAATCGATTAATTTATTACATAATCCATTAGATAATATACCAAATCATTTTTTTTTACCAATTGGTAAAACAATACAATCAATTATATTATCAAATAGTTTAATGAAATTAAAATTATATAATGAAAGTTTTTATGGTTTATATCAATTAAAATTATTAGATTTAAGTAATAATTATTTAGAAAATTTACCTGATTCATATGAATATATATTTAATCAAATGCAATTAAATGAATTATATTTATATGGTAATCCATGGAAATGTGATTGTCATTTAAGATGGTTAAAACAATGGTATTTAAAATATAATACAAAATTAATATATTATAAATCAATAAATGATATAATATTATATAATAATAATAATATTGATATAGAAACAAATTATTGGTTAATGAATGAACAAAAATTCAATAATCAATTAGATATGAATACATTATTACAACCTAAATGTGCAACACCAATTAAATTACATGGTAAACCATTATTTAATCAAATAAATAATAATAATAATAATGATAAACAAATAATACGTAGTATAGATTTTCATTGTTCACCAGAATCACATACACCTAATCAAGATATTCAATTTATATGGGGTAATAATTATACATTAAATTGTAAATTTTTTGCTGATCCATCAGGTATTGTTATATGGTATAAAGATGGTATAAGAATACAAAATCATTGGCCAAGAATAACAACTAAACAAAGTCAAGGAAGAAATTTTTTAGCTGAATTAACAATTGAAAATATACAAAATTCTGATGCAGGAACTTATATTTGTTATTTAGATACAGGTTATGGACATGTAAATACAACATTTAATGTACAAGTGGATGGTGGTACATCTATAGATGAATCATTTTATCATAATGGTGTATTTTATTGGATTAGTAAGTTGGATACAACTCTTGTGCTCAAGTATACTGGAATGATTGCTGTGTGTTTAATCATATTATTAGTAATTATGGGTTTACTGATTTATTTATTTAATGGAAAGATGTATTGTCGACCAAAATTGTGCATTAATAAAACAATACCAACTTATGATAATAGATCAGATCAATCTAAACTAGGACTAGGTGGTGAGTCAGATACAATAAACACTAGTAATTCCAGTACTTTGAGTGATAAAAATACTATTAGTAATTCAAAAAGTACATATACGCTCCAGGGACAAAATCTAAATCTTTGTACACCATTGGGACCTAAGAATGACAATATAGCAATGACATGTAAACGTGCTCCAACATCTGAATTAGATGATCATGTCTACTTGCATTGTACTAGTTCCAACGTCTTAGATCAACACAATCTATTATCACATAAATCACGTGATCCAACATTTGATAATTATGTAACAGTTCGTCTATTACCAACAGTGACAGGTAGTGATCTTACTGTTCCTTGCCCTATACATAACTATGCATTTATACATCAAGTTTCTACAGATCCAACGACAGTGTCTACTGCAAATAATATAGATATTAATTATGATGGTGTTGTTACTGGATCTATGCAAGTGATTCCGGAATCTCATATTTCTTCATCGAACATAAAAAAATATAATGCAATGGAAAATTCAAGTTTAACTACTTCTGTAAGTAATATGAAAATATCCAGTACTTCTGAAGAAAATGTCGCATTAAAAACTAATAAAGCTATAAGTACTGATTCAGGTAATATAGACAATAAAATTGTCAGCAATAATGATAATAACTGTTTGAATTCATCGGTTTACACACCTTGTCCATTGCATGGTAATATATATGCAACACTCCAGAGTAAAGATAAGAAAAATATTTCTGCAGAAATACGTAAACACATCGCCAATGTACCACCAGGTTTGACAGGATTAAATTATGAAAAACATCATACACTACCAAATAAAAAGTTTCGCCCACAGTTATCTACTTCTACTACCAATGTTACTAGTACATCTAATAGTACTAATGATATCCTTAGGACCAACACTACACATACTATTAATTCTGTAACAGTTTCACTAACCGATAAATGATATTCTCTTAACAGTATTGTACATCATTTAGTCATCTGATTGAGTAAATGAAAAATTATCATTATTTTATGATAATAATGTAAATTGACTAATGTACAATACACATATGCTTGCAAATGAATAGAATCATGTATACGTTTATCAATACATATTAGTATAAAGACATTGATGAAAAGCAAATAGTTACTTATTCCTATCTATTTAAATGTACAAATGGATTATACTACAATAACTGTCCACCATATAGATGAGAAGTATAAAAATCTGGAATAAATTATAATGATTATGTAAGCTTTTTATTTTAAAAGTGTAAATATACATCAAAATGACTACCGTTACTTTTGGAAAATCTCAATGATGTCTTTCTATGAAAAGTTAGGAAATTTTTTACTGAATTAAATAGATATAAAGATTTTGTATTTTAGCTTAATTTCAATGTATACAAATTAATGTTGGGATATATTTTTAATAGTTTTAATCATAAAATGATTGTATCTAGGCCACTAGTCAAAAAATTAGAAAGCACTGGATAGAGGTTTTATCATACTATAGGATTCCTTAACTTTGAACATTCACGACATCACTAGGAAGAATCGAACCTATGATCTTTGATCTTGCTCATGAATGATTAACTTTGAAACCACCCAGCCACCAACTAATGATGTATATATATAATAAGTTGTCACATTGTTAGAAAAAAATTCGTTGATTATATTTTTGTTACACCATCTTAACCAATACGCAAAAAAATATTGTGATCACTTCATTAGTCGGCATTATATATTTCAAATAATCTAGCTAGAATGAATTAGTCTGCTGTTTTTCAATTTTAATCACTATCATAAAATGAAAAAAAAAAGATTTTTAAAGGGTAAACTATCAACTTATTTCGGATCATTTCTTCTTTAATCCTTAGTTCATGATTTCCTGATAATAAAAGTTGGGAAAACTATCTAAATATGTATGAATATTCGTCAAGATTAGAACGAATAGTTTGACAGAAATTGGGCGCCGAGTATAGAAAAATCATTCTATGTGCAAAATTATATTTGAAATAATTTTGATTATTATCCTGAAGAAGTCCAGATAAGTTAGCTGGACGAAACATTGAAAATTATTTAAATTTCAATCGATGAGATTATTTCAACTAATAATTTTTACATATAATGATATATCTAATTATGGTTGTTGATTAGGTAATTAAAACTGAAAGAATATACTAAAATTTTTAATCGTTTCTTTATGAAGTGATAAAATGTTCACGGTAAAATAGTATAAAAGTGATGTATAGAGAAAACAAACAAACGCACAGCACCTCCTAATGTTGAATCCATTTGGAGCTGAAGTAAAGATACAATGAAACTAATTTCAAGTTGACTAGTCTTCAAAGAATTCTATATCTTGATAGTCATAATTCTTATTAGAAATACTAACAATAAGAATCCAATTATATCACCTTTATAACTTAAATAAGTGGAAACTTATCTGGAACTATATAATATAAATGAACTGAAAACATACAAATTATTACAGAAAATTAGAACATACATAGAATTGTATTTAATGATTAAAATAATTTTTCAGTCTAATGATTCTTATGTAAATCAATAAAGTTGACATAAGAAATATATTCGGTATAGTAAAATGTATATGAAAATAAGGATTGATGAAATTTCTATGGAGATATTTTAATGTTTTCAGATAAAATCTTTAGTATAAAAAAGAAAATCACATGAATGGTTTCATTGATGTTACATTTGATAGATGATAATAATGATTACGTAATAAATTGATGAGAGATAGTGAAATTGATTTAAATTTAGAGGAGAAAACTAATTACCAAGTTAATTAAAACAAAACAAAACAAACAAGATAACTATTACAAAACTATGTTAGAAAAAAACAGATAATATTTTTGGTAAGAATAAGGTGTATCTGAATGTTTCATAATCTTATGTAAATGATTTAAAACAAAACGGATTTTTTTTATTGATTTTCAATATTGAATAAAATGTACTATAACTTGGATAAAGAACATTTAGGTATCTAGGCTAACACTTAGTCTTTGGAATATTTAGCCAGAAACCGGTGGTTTACATTCCATAGTAGTAGAGTTTACTGAAAGTGAAAATTTTAGGGTTTTATTTATGATGAGCCGTGTATACTTACTTCTGAAGATTTTTATACTAGGATAGAACAAATGATTAAATCTTTTGGGTTTTTAATGTTTTTTTGTTTATTAAGATAAGACGGTGATCTAAATTATAAAATTCAACTATCTCCACTAACCTCCTACAGTGAAACTTAAATGGTCCATACACTTGTCAAAATTTCTAACTGGTTTTTTATAATTTTATAGCACAGAAGGTCATATACGTAAGTAAAAATCCGTCTACTTTCGAATACTTAGTCAGGGCTTCAACTTGTTTATAAGACGACCCAGTTGGTCTTCCATAATGCTTTTATATGCAAGCATCAATGAATTATTTTTGTGGTCGATAATTTATCGATCGTGTACAAGTATACATTCAATTGGTGTTGTTTGCTTGTATCTTCCCAATGTTGTTTAGAATTGCAATTGATCAGTCTCTTGTTGGCATATGTGCATCCTGTGGGAATTGCCTCGACACTGTCCTAAGTTGCAAGTTTTATAAGAAAAGATGGATAGTGGCTAGTATTGGAATCTAGAACGCGCGTTTCATCCCATTTGGGACTCGTCAGCTGGAGGTACCTGTATCCCAGAGTTGACGTTCACTTCACGACTCGAATCCAAGTATATCTAATAATTCGTAAGCTCCGGAAATATCTTCGAGTAAATAACTAAATGGTCGTGTAATTTTCATTACAGTTAGGTTTTCTTAAAAGAAGTAAACTATAATAAAATCGTAGTTGTTCGTACAAATTGTACCTAAACAAATAAGCATCACTTATCTCCTTGCATTCATACAACGTTTTCTAATTTGACGACGTGACCAACTATAGTTCACTTAAGATGTAGAAAAAAAACGAATTATTCCGTATTAGCGATAAGGCTTATAGTTAGAACTTATCAAGTCGGAAACCAAGGATTGGCAATATCAATCCTATAACCCGGTTCTATCTTCATCACATATCAAAAAGTTCTTAAGTCCATATATCTCACTGGATTATTTATTTAGCAAAACTGAATGAAAACTCAGTTCATGTAGATGTTAAACACTGAAAAAAACTACATAACTAATCTAATAACTCAAATAAAATGTTTCCGAAAATCTAATAACAATTGAAGTATCTTATGAATATTGTCCATCAATATTTTTCGCTAACTTACGCATGTTACTCCCAATGGATCATAGGTCAACGACCAGTATTCTCCAACCCACTATGTTCTGGGCTTTCTTTTCTAGTTCTGTCCAATTTTTGTTCACGTCTGTCTCCATTTCTTGGCGTAATGTGTTCTTTGGTCTTCCACTCCTTTTCTTTGACCTTGAGGATTCCATGTGAGGACATGCCTTGTGACACAGTTGGGTGCTTTCCTCAATGTATATCCCATTGTTCATCAATATTAATTTATTATTAAATAATTTTCATAAAAATCTATTCAATTGACAATATAATACTTATTTTATTAATAAATTCTTTTTTATAAAAATTCATCTATTCATGATCAGACTTTATAGTCATGTGTTAACGGAGTTCTCTTGTTGTGTTTTTGTTAATAATGATTTAGTGATTATTAAAATGAAATATCTACACTGATATAACTATAATGTATTCAAAATGTACTACAAACCTATTGAGAGTGATTTTGATAACATTGAATTCCACTTAACATAAACAATATTCTGATTTCCGTGACCACACAAAAAAACGATATCTATACTCTTGGTTGTTTCAGCATCTGTCCATCACTCTGTGAGACGTAGAGAGAGAGAGAGAATAGTTTGAAGGAGAAATATCATGGTATACGCAATCCCTCCCATACACACACACACACAAATAAAGATCAGTCATCCTGTTATTATTAACAACGATATTATTGATAATAGTGGTCTAGTTGTCTTCATTGTCCTATCTTTAAAATTGTTTTTCTAGCTACTATTGTTATGATGACAAAGTTGATACATGATATTGAATAAGATAAATGTTGATTAACTAAATAATTGAAGTGTGTATGAAAAGAATAATGTAACTGTCATTCATTCAACTAATATACTATTTAATAACTATTTTTCTTCTTCCTTCTAATGTTGCTTAAGAAGTAATGTTTTGTATTTTTTTTAAATAGTCAGTGTAGTTGTTTTCTTAATTGAAAGCTGATAAATATTAAAAAACGGTGGTTATTCGAATATTTTATCCGTGAGATTATATACATTAAACATGAATGTTACAGTTATTCTATCTGTCGACGCGATGTTTAGTATTTATGTATATCTTACCAGAAGTAAATGATCATAACGTAAACAAAGATTAGTATACAACTTTGTAGACTGATCATGGTTGATGTTTTCTTTGTTCTAGGTTGGAAATTTTAACTAATATTAGACATGTAAACTCAGTATGAAGTAATGTTTACTAAACCAAAATCTTTTTTTAAATATCTTCAACTGAAATCTGATTGAAAATTTTATTTATATAAAGTACATATGTCATTTCAATTTATTTATCCATTTCATTACTTCAGTTTAACAGTTAGCTTTTGTTGTACCATCCGAAAGTCTACTACATGAAGTCTTCTTGAAAACATCATATGTATGATGAATATTTACATACTAGTTCCATTCAAAAAATTTAAATAAAAGACAAGATGATAATATTTGTGGAATCTTATCATATTCTAAATAAATAATAAGTTGAAAGCAATTTCTGTCTATAAATAACATCAATTGAAGCCTTAACTAAATGTCGGCAACCTTATCAATCCTATTTGATTTTCAATGGTTCTGTGTCAATCTATGTCAATCTATGTCAATCCATGGAAACATTTTAATTTAGCATTTAGATATAGTGTGTTTGTTTAATCTTAAATAATCAAGTTTACATGTCATATTTCATCCTATACTTAATCCAATCTCGCCTATGGATTGTTTTATGGTTTCTAATTAAAATTAAATGAGCTAACACTTGAAGTAAGCCCATTCAACTACTGTATTATTTATCTGCTCACTGTAATTTAGACACTTAATTCACTATGTAAATTTCTGTGTGAGTATGATTGAGCACATGTCTGCACATCAATTTTCAATCTATTCTCCCATTGGTTGTAATATACCGATAATCAATAATTTATCCATACTTGATTAACACT